TGATAGGAGAAACCAAGATGATCTAGAATCATTATCAGAGAAAGGGAAAAATAATCTGTCATACTTATGTACAGCCATTTTTCAATCGTTTCTTACATAGGTGTGTGTTTGAGTACTTTCAACATTCCTGATTGTGACGGGCAAAAATCCCAAGTCTCCGCCCGCCTTCAAAATTCTTCATGAATACCAATTGCGGTAATATCATCAAAATTCCTTCTTTAGATATGTTCCTGTCTCTACGACTTCGCCGCATAATTTCTGCTTGCCTTGATCATAAATACTCCATGAAGCTCCATCTTGTTGTGGTGATTGATTATATTGGAGAGTAAAAATTTCTTTTGTTGTATAGATTTTGTACTCAGGTTGCAAAACTAACTATCGTCTGAACTGCGAGTGTACAAAGACTAGTTAACTATACCGAGATACCTAGCCAATGAATGATGTGTACTGGTTCGAATAAATTTAATTCATCCATTCTTTTTGTGTCGCATTCTTGATTGCTTAATTTCTCTTTCTAGATTTCTCTAGCTCTTCCATGAACCGCGAGATTGATTGCCTCTGAACACACACAGGCATTGTCAGACAATGTCAAACATCACAGCAGCTTGTTCGAAGACGATCACAAAAGACATCAGAAAGAAAGATTGATAACCAACGACGATATTCAATTTATATAGGTATCTAGGTCTATGTATATTCTCAAGCTACGTGGATACAATTTATTAAGTAAAATCCCTTAACCCAGGCACCAAAGCTAATCAAAAACTAATCCAACCCATCCAAAATACCAATTGAACAATTAAAATAAAATTAAAGGTAAGAAATTAGAAAAATTAAACAAACAATCCCTCTTCAACCAAACTTCCCACATCTCCTCCCGCTGCTCTGATAGCTTTCAGCGCTGCCTGCGATAATTTTCTTCTCTTCTCCATTGCTTCTTTCTCCCGTCTCGCTTTCGTCTTACTTGATCCACTGGGTGCTACTCCAGTCAATATCTTGCGACTATCATCTGGCGTATAATTAACAAAATCCACCATGCCGCGTCCCGAAGTAGGCGTTCGCGGAGATGTGTTTCTGTTCTTTGATTTGCGTTGTTTTCGCACGTGGAACGTAGGTGAGGATTTGGGAGAGGGCGATTCGGACCCGCTGGATCCGGTGCGAGTTTTGCGGGGTCGCGAATTGGGGTAATGATGGGAATGGGAGTGTTGATGCGACTTGCGGGATGAGGGGGAGTGATGGGAGTAGTGTGAATGCGAGTGTGTTCGAGATGCTCCATTGTGAGTCTGATATGGTGTGTGAGGTTGGGGTCCTCCTCCATTGGTACTGGTGTTGAAGTATCCTTGCTGAAGCATAGGGGAAGATTCTACGACGAATGATTGCTGGGGCATACTTTCTGGCATGGATATCATTAATCCTTGTGCCATGTTCATTTCATTGCTATTATATGAAAGTTCATTTTGTAAATGGAAAGCAAGGTTTTTGGTTGCCCTTTGAGAATTTCGGTGAAGCGTATTCGGTGAAGGTTGTGCCATTGGGGTTGTTGCCGCGTGGTTCCACCAGAGAGAGTTTCCGTCAGCTTCTACTTCAACGGGGTACCCAGATGAGGCTCCAATTGAGCTGAAATTTGACCCTGGTACATGTGACCATGAGGCTGATACTTGTTGAGATTTTGGAGTTATAGGATACATTGATCCATTTGACGACGATTGATGATATCTCATTTCTGGTGTATTTTTATTGTCTAGGTTGGGTGTTGAGAGTGGTGTGTTGTAATCCGTAGGTATAGATGGGAATTGTAAGTCTTGCGGCATACCGGTCCATGAATCTTCAGAAACATCTGTTTTCTGAATTTTCTTCAACGATGAGGTATGTTCAGAAGCATTGGACATTCTAGCCGATTGTGGAGGTGACATTGGGGATTGATGTTGAGGATTGAAACCAAATTTCGAAGAATCCAAAGTCAATTTTCTCCTCATTGTTTCCCGACTCATTTTTCCAAGACTCGATGAGCCTCGTGGCATGTTTGAAGAATTTTTATGCGATTTTCGGATAGGACTTCGGAGAGATTTCTCAGATTTTGTGCTCACTTTCTTCAAGGTGTTGGCAAGTGCTTCAACACGACTCTTCTTTCTAGTTGAAGCAGCAGGTGCTGGTGTTGTTGGAAGAGATGGGTGAGACCATGCTTCTATTTTAGGTGGTTGCAAAGAGATATCTTCAAGGCTGAGAAGATCAGAGTCAGATATTGCGGCTCTGCCAGAAAGTTCTGCATAGAAAAGATTATCTTGTGTGCCGTCTGGTGAGGCTGAATCTTGGGCGAAAACCCATGGATCGCCTTGCCAATTGGCTTCAATGTCCAGGGCATCAGCATCGTGTAAAGATCCTAGTAGTGTCTCTGAATCTTGATCTTTGCTATCTGATGAGTCTTCTGAAGATTTCGGCTGGGGAAGGTCATCATCAGCATCATTGGACGGACTGAATGTAATAAATTCGTCGAAAAACGCGTTGTCTAATTCGTCAAAGTTATTTGTGAATAATTCCGATGACTTGCCAACATTCGTCGGAGGAGACATGTTGGGCTTGGTGTGAAGAGGCTGAGTGGTAAGGTATGAACGTGCCTGAGTATACAGGTAAAGTTAGAAAAAGTACAAGTATGATAGGCTAGAGGGAGAAGCAGAATATGCAAGTCAAATGCCAGATGTACGATGATGTAGGTGATGAAGCAATCAAGACAAAAATGTCCAGGAGGGGATATTTATGAACAGGTCAGGTGTCTACCAGCCTTCTTCATTATATTATACACTGTGCTCATTGGAATGAAGTATATTTGCGTGACATACACGTGATTGTGCACTCTGCACCGTCCTTAAACATCGTCTCGAATTCCCCGGGATGGCAATACGTGCCGATACTAGCCATTTCATGCCGTTCTGTGCATGTGTTTGCCGATGCGGAGCTATCTCGTTGGGCGTGGGAATGCAGTACATTCTTGGAGATGGATAGGCGAAAAATCCTCGCCTCGGTTTTGGATAGAAGTGAAAGTGATGCAAACGTTTAAGAAATTAAATATAGACGGAAAAGAGCTTGCAAAAGTAATTGGAGAAACTACAGCATAATATAGCTACCCCCCCATAGCTCCATGAAAAGTTTTTCTCTTTGATGGACTCGAGTTCCTTTGCGAAGGTGGAGCTATCAAGTTCCTCAAAGAAAGCCACATGGCTTGAGGGGATTCTCTCAAAGAATAAAGAGATGTGAACCTGTAAGATACAAAATTTTGCGTCGGCTACAAACACATTGTGACCGAGGAATGTATGGCGTCGATCAATTCCTTGATAATTGGTTAATTAGCTTTTTGGAAATATTTCTTTGTGGCAGACTTGAGGGGGGGGTGTTTCATTTTACATTCCAGAGCAGTTTTCGCGAATTCTTCAAGATGGCGCGATGAACTTTTTGCGGTTTTTTGCATTTTCATTTCCAGCCTTTGGGTTTTTTGTAAGTTTGGTTGCAGAATTTGAAGAAACTGAGGAAATTGAGGGAGGGAAGAGATAGTTATAAGAAGGGTTGATGTAAAAATAGAGAGGAATTTATCATGACATCTATCTGCATGATATGCTCCACTTCCATTTCATTCTTCGGGAGTTTCATATCTTATTGTACCTGCATATGCATATGCAAGTCTGACTTTCCCCACGTACCCCTCACCACTTACCCCTCAATAACCCACATACATACAAACACACTATCCCAATTCCCACATGAGCGCTCCGCAAGGGCAAATCGAGCTCTCACACGCCTTCGAAAGACTTCTCGAAGAACGTCTGGAAGCCGAACGTCTTCGTCGCGATCTAATTTTCTACTGGCACACTCTCATTCTCGAGTGTAAAAAGCGCGGGAAAGAAATCGAGCGGACTTTTTACCAGGCAGATAATTGTGGTGAAACGCCTTTTTCAAGCGAAGAAACTATTGTACCGGGAACTGGAACGCCTGATACGTTGACTGACGTATCTGGATTGGAGAGATTGCCGAGTCCGTTGAGTCCGGTGGTTAGCGCTAGGAAAACGAACTTGAGGGCGGAATTTGGGACAGAGAGAATTTCGAGGAGACTGGAGGGTTTGTTGAAGAAGTATCAGGGGGTTATTGGTGTGAACTTCTTGAAAGGAAAAGAATAAGCATAAGAAAGGAATAGAGGGGATGAGTAGAGAAGGTTTTTATTGGCAATCGGTCTCTTCTTGTTATACGTTGGGTGCTGGAAGAGGGCGAAGCGAAGCGGAATTATTGAGAAGTGAAAAAGAGCTGTTGAGGAAAAGTAAGGAATTTGTTGTAAGAAAGTGGAGGGGCAGGGAAAAGGTTCTAAAAGTGGTTTTCAGAAGGGGTGTTTGATTCGATTTTGAGAGAAGGGGATATCTCTTTGCTTGGAAATCTTTGGCTTGTCATCGTTTCGTTGCCCAATTAGCTTTTCACGAGCGCTCTCTATCATACCGGATTACTACACCCGCTACAATATATTCTCATAAGCTGCCTACTCACAATTTCCCACATCACCAATCATCATACACAAAGACAAAATCACAATGTCTAATATGCTTTCACTCCCCAGAGAAAGTATCACCCTAATTTTGCACACCATCATTCGTTATCCGGCACAGATACGAACATGGCTATTCGTCCAATGCACACTCTTGAGTCTCGGGTTAGGAGATTTTGCTGAAGCACAGGCTGGAGCTGGTATGTAATAGTTGTGAAAGGTCAGACTTAGGTTCGTGTTTACGACTTGCATTGTCGGCAACGAAAGGAAAAGGGGTCGGTTCTAGGGGTTGGGTGATTTTGCCGAGGCGGGGGCTAATCTTTGTATTATTGGATGAGAGTCGTAATGTGTAATTGAGGGATTCAAGAATGTATCTAAATGGTTTAGAAGAAGATTAGATAAGAGTTCAGATATAAGATGAATGTGGTTATCAGCGGTATAGATTAATATGGTTGGTGGGCTGAGGGATTTTGAGATCAGAATATATGATGAATATGGAATATGGAATATGTTAATGATAATTGCCATACCGTACATTGCCAACTAATATCATACATGAATGGTATCCCTAATCACAGTGAACAGACCAATAGAAAGTCATCTTCCTAGGTGGTTACAATCCTTTGACTCCCATTTTATGATCGCTTCTGATCAGTCTGAAAGATAGGTGGCATGAAAGCCATTCCCTTACCAGATACACTACTAGAACCCAATTCCACATCATGCACGCCTCCCGCCGATCTCGAGATAACATGTTTCCTCAACATAGCCAAAATTTCACTATTTTGCCATCTTCTTGGTACCGGTCTATAAGCAGGCTTGAAAGTTCCAATCGTTTGTGCCCATTCTCCACTTCTGGGAGCACCGTTTCTCCATGCATCTGTCTCTAATTCAGGACCGGTTTGTTTTCCAGGATCCGTACCTTGTGCTACTGGTGATTTCTTTTGATCGGTACCCATAGCATTGGTTGTAGCTCCTTCGGCCCCAAGGCCAGCTCCTTCAGCTGTTTCACGAGATGTTGGGGATGGTTCTTGGGTAACCCAGTAATAGATATCCCAATCATTTTCGTCGAGGAATTGATCATATTGTACCATTTGTGCAGCGGTCATGTTAGGAAGGTGAGCATCGGCAAAGGTGGACATTAGCAGATCGGATTCGAGAGTTCCTCGTTTGCGCGATTGATCTGTGGGAGATTCTGTTAGCAGAGTTCTGAATCTTATTGGAAGGTAGGATCAAGGTAGATTTCGTGGCGAAATGTCGAAAAACATACACAATAATCGCGCTCTCATCTTCTCCTCATGCTCTCCATCCCTTCTCAATGGCTCAACTCTGAACTGTGCCCCCTCCATTTCTCCAACAGCCATCTCTCTGTTAACACCACTTCCATGGCCATCTTGAGTGCCACCAGTCATCCTCTCCGTGTTCTCCGGTACACTATCCTTTGGAGTAAAATTCCCATCCACACTCGTTATGAACTCTGGTGGAACCTTTCCCGCACCTGCACTAGGCATTTCGTTTACGATAGTAGAATTGGTGTTCGTCATATGTGGATTTAATGGCTTTTCCATTTGATGTTTGCGATATTCTTCAGTACCATCATGCTCTTTTGCGTTACCGGGATTGGCATTTGCAAATCGGAAAGTTGTACTGGAAAATGGTCGAGAAGTATTAAGCATTGAGGCACGGAAAGCCCGACGGGCAATACGTAAAGATGTCATTTTGATATGAATTGATATGTAAATAAGTTGATCTCGAGGCTCGTGAAGCAATTGGAAAAATCTCAAGCTGGGGAGGATATCATGCACGGCGTGGGGAAGTAAATATGGACGTCATGGACTTTTGACATGCGGCCGCATCATGTGACATGCCGAGGTCAGAGCTTCAGGTGCGATTCTTTCCGACTGGCAATTCCAATTCCAATTTCGAATTTCCAATTCATAATGAACTGAAGAAACCAATTGATACAGTGACATTGTAATGATCCCGGGCATTGCTAGTCCTATAATAATAATGTGACCAAGTGGAAAATCTTCCAAGGTTGTCGCTGACTATGGAGTTTGGATCAGCAGTTGTTACCTATATGAGGTCTTAACATTTGAAAACAATTCAATTCGTCGAAATAAATTCAACATTTCAATTGATTTGAAGGACGTGTATGAGGAATTAAGACTACTTTAAGACCACAAGGGCTAGTTTCAATTACGAAATCTCGAGCTTTAAAATTCGAAGCAGGGAGGAATATCAAGTGGTTTCTCATATTTGCCCTCAACCCCCTCGCTCTTACCCTCACAGTATTGGGGAGCCATGCAGTGCCTTCAAAAGCAGGGAAATTTGAACTTGCCCATCAAAGAATGCTCAACCGCGTACCCTATCTTCATTGGTATATGATCATATTGTCTCTTGCCTAGACTATTTCCCTGATGGTGCTTTGGAGCTCAAGTGAATCATACAAGTAGTTTAGAGGAACAAAATTCTGATTGTTCACTACATTGGATATAACTGCGAAATCAACTCACGCAAATCTTTGTATTGTTTTTGAGAATTTGTTACTCTTGAGGCATCACGAGCTCAAGATCTGGTCGAGATATAGGTCATCTTGTTACTTTGTTGTTGTGAACGATTGGAAACTGCATTTTGAGAGTACCGGCTCGCTTATGACTCCCGATTTTTGACCAAAACCCTTTTGACTGTATTAATCAATATTTACAATGTGTCTTCCGCCTAGATTCACTGCTGTAAGTAAAGAAAGAGCAGGCGTTATGTGCCCCCGTAGTAATAATGGTGGCGATGAGAGGAAGCGACGAGTTGTGCTTAATTTTATTACTTCCACAAACAGTTGACTGGTGAGGAATTCCAATGATCTGTATTCCTACATCATTCTTAACTATCTTGCTTCCCTTGATTTCCCACTTCAGACCTCGCTGAAATACTTGGTGTCTTTAACTATTTCTCAAAAATCATCAATATACATGTAAGCTTTACATCCGTAACATCAACCCCTTCCTGATATTGAATACTGAACTGAACTTCTAGTCATAAACATGTGTCGACTCATCAAACCCATCACATACTACTGTGACGACGATCAAACATCTCCACCACACATCTACTTCAACCCAGATCCGGAGCAATGGGAAGGATGTTTAAATCATCACAATGTAGACCTTCGCGGAAAAGTATTCTCAGCACCAGAGAGAACATGTTACGATGCACCCGATCAAGTACCACTCGCGAAATCAATTTGTCCCGATTGCTATTCTAAATGGGGAGCTGAGCGTACCGCTATCATAAATGCGCATGTGAAGGCTATTCTCCAACGCATGGATGAACTCTGTGGGCTTTTCAACAACCCCAGCAAACTCAGGGCGGAAATGCGTTCTTCGTGTCACTTGGTTTTCGACTTTGCGATGCATATAGAAATGCCCGCGCCTGATGAAAAGTATACTCAGTATCTGTCGCCTCCAAAAGGCACCGGGAAGGATAACACATCCAGTAGTACTAAGTACTTTGATCAGCTCCTCCAAGTGGATATCCCGCATTGGCGGAAATTGGCGGATATTATAAGACGTGGAAATAGCGAGGTGAAAGATGAATCGTTGGCAGAGATATTTGGCCAGCTTGCTCGTTGTCAGATTGAGTATTGCGTGCTACATACGTTGAGAGGATGATGCTCATAGATAGATACATGAAATTTGAGATAGAGCATGGTTGGTGGTGGAACATCGTGTGATACTTGAAGACATTCTTGTTATCCAGCGCTCTGGGGGTTACATTATTCTGGGGTTTTATCACTTGGTCGGCGGCTTGGATTGTTATTATAATTCAACCTTAGCATTCACACCATGACGTTTGAGATTCCATTTCTACTTCCCGTGATTTAATCTTCGTATTTTCATTCTACTCTGACTCAATACTGAAAGTCACATGTAGTAAGTACATGTGGTGACAGTTCGGGTGAGTCGAAACTACGATATGAGTCTTGTAGCTCGCTCATAGAGATTCATCAATATGAATCATGTTTCTCCGATGACTGGCGAGGATATTGGCTTCCATACCCAATACCCAGAATTTCCTCTCTCAGTTTGCTTTTTTTTTGTTCTTCAATACAACCAAACACCTGTTCAACATCAACACTAAAATCTTCAATAATTCGATAATTGAAAATCAAACATAATACAACAATTCAAGACAAAGTCACTTTATTGTCAGACCTCAGAGATAGTTCTTCCAATACAGGTAATATAAATATTCTATTTCACAGGGTAGACTCGTCGCTGACTCTGTCTCAAGAAGAATTTCACAACTGCAATTATGTGTAGACCCAGCAATGTCGCTAGATACTACTGCGACAATGACAAGGATTATCACAGATATCAGCCCAAACAATGGTGGTACGCATGTGATCAGCATCCGAATCCGGCACTTCGAAACACACATTACTTAGAAACACAACAGAAACCGCCATGTCCTGGTACTCACCCCCCTTTGCCAGATGATGTTTGTCCCTATCACCGGGAGAGATACGGTGATCAACTAGCCGACAAAATACAGAGCCACATTACCGAACTACTCGCACTAGTGCTTGAAGCTGGCAATAACCGTTGTCTCGCTACGGGAGCCCCGAACATAAGAGAGTACATTTTCTTCGACGTCGAACGATATTCCGAGTATCTCGAACCGACACCGCAGCCAGGCGATCAATACAGAAAATATGGAAACCATCCAAAACATCCGCCACGTCCACGGCGTTTGACTCCGAAATCAGATCGCTCTGACAATTATTTACCCACTCTTAGGAGACTGGAACGAAGTTGGATCCGGAACGACATTGAGTCCGAGCGCAATAAACTTCATCCTGATGTGGAGAAGGTGACCTGCCTTGTATTTCAACTTTTTCGTACAAAGATTGACTATCAAGAGGCGTGGGCGACGTTGAAGCTACATGAAGAGTTAGAGTCAATTATTCAGCAATGACTCAGTGTACAATAGATTAAGCTATTAAAGCTACCTATGCATGGTTTTGGACAGTAGATAGAAAATAAATTTACTCATCCACAAAACTTTATTCCAACTTCCCATGCACTTGGATGAGTCGAAACTAAGATATGACTCCTGTAGCTTGCTCCTAGAGAGATTCATTCTAATGAATCATATCTCTCCAATAACTAATAAAAATATTGGCTTCTATACCTAATACCTAGAAGCTCCTTTTTTAATCAACTTTTTCTGTTTCTCAATACAACTAAACACTTACTCGGATATCAACATTAAAATTCTCAATAATTCAACAATCGAAAATAAAACATACAACACTCGAATTTTATCTCGCTCTCATTGCAACTCATACTCCATTTCACCAATACAGACGACAATACAGTTCTACTTAAGGATTCATCACTGGCCCTTTCTCAAGAACATCTTACCAGTACAATCATGTGCATTGCCGCAAACACCACGAGATTCGTCTGTGATGACAATTTTGATTCTACTCGGCATAGATACGCCCATATCCAGGAATGGACAGGATGCCCTAATCATCCTGACAGAAGACTCCACGGCAGAAAATTCAAAGAAGATAAATATCTCAAGCCTTGCTCTGGTACACCCCCAGTTCCCATCGCAACAAGCCTTTGTCCCGACTGTGCTGCCTCTCACAGCAAGTATCATCAAGAAGTCATACTGTCCCATATTTCACGCATAATGCACAGAACTGCAGAAGTCAAGGACTATCCATGCGATTTTGAAGATCTCCATTATGAGGTCGAGTGGTTGTACCGCATTCTCAAGAGGTGTGACTTTTATACATATTTGGAGCCCGCTCGGCTCGGAGAGCAATATAGGAACGACGCAATACCTGCGAGAGATCCGAATTATGGATTATTAGCATCATTTCTTTTCCACGAGAGCACCCAATACTCAGCTCAACTAAGCAATGTGTACTTAAAGGAGCTGTTCCGCGAAGCAGAGCACCAGGAATACAGGGGTAGTCCTGTTGATCGCATGAATTCGATGAGAAAGTTGTTTTGTCAGATAATCGGGGTAGTAATTGAGATCTCTCGTTTGCAAGGTGAAAGTCTTCGAGCGGAAGATGAGGAGGATCGTGCTGAGAAAGAGAGAGTTCAGCGTATTGAGGCAGCAAAAACCCCAGAGCAAAGACGCGAGGATGATGCGAACCGTGAATGGCGAGCTAAACAGGACAAAGAAGATTCTCGTCCAAGGCAAATGACACAGTATTCTACGCAGGATTTGTACGCTCCACAGGCGGGAGGTACATCGAGCGCTCATCGATCTCAAACTCGACATCTCCAACGCTATCGGGAAAGTTAGAGTCAACTCATTAGTGATGACTCAGTGTATAATAGATTAAGCTATTAAAGCTATGCATGGTTTTGGATAATAGATAGAAAATAAATTTACTTATCCACAAAACTTTATTCCAACTTCCCATGCGCTGTTCTAAAAAGGATTCATTGCTATGAATCCTACTTCTGTAATGACTGGTGAAGGTATTGCTCAATACCTCATACCCAGAGAAAGGATTCATCGTTATGAATCCTACTTCTGCAATGACTGGTAAAGATATTACTGAATACCTAATACCCAGAGAACTCCCCATGGACTTGTTCTTTATCCTTCTTCCATACAACCAAACACTTGCTCACATATCAATACCAAACTTTTTAATAACATCGAAAACCAAACATAATACAACAGTTCAAATCAAAGTCTATTTCCTATCAGATCTCAAAGATAGTTCTTCCAGTACAGGTAATGTTTTTGTTCCATCTAAGAGAACCATCGATAGACAAACCCCAAGACTTACTTTACTTATAGGAACAATCATGTGCTATACCTGGCACACCATCAAATTCCTATGTGATTTCGAAGATCGCGCTCGTCCCGGCAAAACGCATGTCTATTCCAAGACACATCATCTCGCCCAGCAATGGATAGGATGTGACAAAAACAAAAATCGAAATCTCCACCACATAAGCTTCTTTGAGACCGAGACACGAAGGCCTTGTGAGAAAAGTGTAAGGGTTTTGGCTTCCAAAATTTGTCCTGACTGCAGTGCCAAATACGGGAAATCCATCACCGAACGAATAACCTCCCACACGAGAACCATAATCTACCTCTTGGAAAAAGCTGGCGGTATCGATACCGAAATTACTGGCCCGGAGCTAATGAAAGGGGATGTGTTTCACGCCGTCGTCAAATACCACAGTTACCTGAGCGATGTCGCCCACACCCACACATACGATCGGAGACATCCAGACCATCCACCAGATCCGGAGAATGATAACGAGAGCGAGCGAAAATATTTGCATGCGCTCATAGATTTGGAGAACCAAATACTCAATGAACGTTATATTCAGGAGAGGAAGCCCGATGGCGGCGATAGAGGAATCATAAGAGAACTTTTTTATCAGCAGGTCAGGGCAAGGATTGAGCGACATAGAATCTCCGTACCATGGTCAATAAAAACCCAGGACAAAGCTAAAAGTTGGCCCCCGCAATCTGAAAGTTGGCCCCCGCAATCTGAAGGTTGGCCCCCGCAATCTAACCGTCGGCCCCCGCAATCTAAGTGATTCGAGCTCAACTGATTATAGTAACTCAGTGTACAATAGATTAAGCTACAACAGCTCCGCATGGTTTTGGATGGCAGGTAGAAAATAAATTCCCTCATCCGCAAAATATTGTTCCAACTTCCCATACACTATTGTGAGACTGTGGAAAACATACATCTGTGATACATCACAAGATATCCCAATGACTAGTGAGAATAGAAATCCCTTACTACTCTCTCTTTCCAAGTTTGAAGATTCCGTACACTATACGGATAGTAAAGCGAGGTGAACCCAAATCTCCCTCCATCTACCTCTCTCATCAACCAAGAACTCAGCCCTTCGGTTTTCTTTCCCAGTTCATGAGTTTTGTGGATGACTCGATATTTCCACTTCTCATTTCCATTTGCATTCTTATCCATGACCCATTCAAGAATATGCTTTTCGATGCCTAATTCCTCTCTCCTGGTGTTTTCTTCTTATCAAATCCCTAAAAATTAAAATCAAACTGGACTTGGTAGAATTCCACACCTCAATTCTCACATCTTCCCACCTCAACCATCAGATCAATACTCCGTTGATGGCACTTTTCGCTCCGCACATGAAAAAAGATTTAAACATCTTCCATCAAAAAACCAATTTCTTCAAATAATTACATTTTCCCCATCCCAGAAGAAAGAAAAGCCTCTTCACACTCAACAAATCATTCATCTATCTTCCTCTCCTATCCCAAAAGAAATGAATCAGAAAGAATATCATCTATCATTCTACACCTCCACTCTTGCACCCTCCATCAAAACCCCAATTTCCTCAAAAACATCCATTTTCCCCATTCCAGAAGAGATAGAAACCTCTCCACACCCAACAAACCATCTATCCGTCTTCCTCTCCTATCCCAGAAAAAAGGCGTCAGAGATAATATCATCTACATACCTCAAGATACAAAAAATCAGTACAAAAATTCCAAAATTTGAAACTTCAGAAACAAGAAACCAATGAGAAGAGATCTTGGACGACAGAATATTTGTTCAAGTGTACTAAACACCATCCGTTATTTCACACCTTGTGAAATATACACACGGGACAGTGAGAGAAAAACCAACGTAGGAATACAAGTCGGAATGTAGGGGAGTGGGTGTCGTGAGGGATGATGAGAATACAACGTAGGTATATCAGGAATTTATGTATGGAATTTTGAAAACATGGTAAAGTAGATGAGATAGAAAAGAAGCGAGAAAGAGGGCGAGAGAGTTACTTTCTCGATTTTTTGATGATTCTGAGGGAGTTTGAATTTTGAGAATACAGGGGATCTATAATTGTCAAATCTGCACGCTGTTTGATAGTCGCTAAATCCTCTCCTCAGTAGTCCTCGTCGCCACCCTTAAGACTTATTCTCCTATCGCTTCCTGGATACCTACTCGATAAAAGGTGTCTCGTGTACTTTCTCCCCACTGCTCCTTCTCCATTCCCAATTTTAGCTCCGACACACCATCTGCTATGAGTCCATCATATATTAACATCCAACGCAAGCCTCCATGCCCGTTTCTCTGCCCAATGTAGAATTTCTGAACGTGATACCAATGCACATCTGAGTCGAACCCAATTTTCAATAATCATTGTGCAAAGCGGCCTTTCTCCCGTTGCTAGATCCGTTGATCTGCATGCTCAACTACGAGTCGAAACTGAAATTTGGCAAGAGCTTAAAATCTGTTCAAGCTCGAGGATTTCATCATGTATACGTTCTCACAGAGATAAAAGAATACCGAGTACTGTGCTGTAGACGAAAAGGTATTTGAAGAATTCAAGTGATTATCACAAGAAACTCCATGGCAATATCTGAGGCGAGCCGTTTTATATCATGCCCAGGATAAGAAAAGAATTGGTTACCACGAACCGCGTCGACACAAGTAAACTTGTCAAGAACATGGGTGAAGCCCTCCGAGGCCTCCCTCCGCCCCAGATGCAATGAAACCAGTCGAGAGCAGGGGTTAGGAAAGAGGTTTATCTCGAAAGGTGAGGCATCGAAAGTAATCATTCATAGATACCAAGCGATCGGATCGAATGGAATAAATGGAATGAAACTTTGAAGTCGGTGTGAGTTACTTGTGGGTTGGATTTGCTTGTCGCTACGCTTTGCTAGAGTTTAACTCTCTGCAGCTGATTGATTCTGAGAAGAATGATGGACACTGGGGCCAAATGATATAAATATCACCGGCCCCGCGCGGTGATGTAGTATTGTACCAATCTGCGAAAAGAATATGGCAAGTTTCTGTGAACAATCATGTTAGTTTCCATTCATAGATAAAGCTCCAAAGCACAAACAACACAATTTCTTTCAGCTATCTCGAGATCACTCCGATCTTGAGATGGGAAATAATGTGAAGACCGTGGTTCAATAACTCCCATCAAGATACCAATCTTTATGCTATGAAAAGCACAATGGATATGGATATCTCAATTCGATGTACGGAGCAAAGAAACATGCAACATAGAGTGACTATCAAGTGAAATGGGAGAATGGGAATGGGTATGGGAATAGAATACTCACAATACCTGTTGTGTCGAAGAAAGAAAGAAAACACGACCACGCTGACCGTCGTGCTTATGAGATGAAGAAAAAAGATCGCTAGTATCGAGAAATTTGGTTTTATGCCTTTTTGATATAGAGCTCGTAGCTCAGCAAAGGTGAGCTTCGAGAACAATCACGTGATACAAGACTGAATTTACTTTTTTCACTTTTTGAACCCTTTTACCATTGGAACTATTATGCATTGACTATTGATATAAGACCAGGTATTCTTTAGAATTGCTTCAAAGTCTTAAAATCGAGTATGAATGGAGATACTTATTTCCAATTACAGATATCCAGATCACGAGTGTGAATTTGGTCTTCTTGTGCTTTGAAACTTATTGTCCTCCCATGTACCAACGAGCGGAACGATTTCTTCTTGAAATTTGACAGGATCAATCAATGGTTACAAGGTGAACCAGAAATTTAAGAAATGAGCAATTGGCCAGATCACTTGCAAACCAGCACCATCCCATCACACTTTCTCCAACTCATGGAAATGATCAATGTCAACAATGACAACACTCTCAATAATTTCCTGACGTCAATTGCTCTTCCATGTTTTTATATCAGAGGATCTTTAAGGACAAGGAAATCCAAAGACCCAGGTCCTAGAAATCTCGTGGTTTCTCCTCATATGTTCTCCTCGCCCCTTGCTTATTATTTTACCATCTTGGAAAAACAACGGGGAAATCGAACGAAAATTATACACGATTTTCGTCACTGGTAGGGATAGTATTTGGTTAATTTCCGATTTATTGACGAATCATATTGTGGATTTTCGGATCTTATAAATCATGAAAATCGTTGGAATGGAAGGTCTCAAGGAAGACATGGAAGAAGGTATGGATTGACGAATCAAGTTTCATTTCTAAATGAGATATTCTGAATTGGAATTGAATGTTGTGAAGTTGCGAAAAAGTTGTTGTGTGCAAATGTTTTTTTGTGAGGGGTCAATCAAGGGGTTAGGGGGATTGTGATGAACCCGTTCAACCTGCAGTTTTGAAGATGCAAGTTTTGTGATACAGCACAGTAACGGCGATCATCAAATCCGGAGGAGTTTGACCGCATTTGGGTTATGCGAAGATGCATTAGGAAGGAGACATCCAAGTGATGTTACAATCCGGAAAGGTCCTTGGAAAGTGGAAGAGAAGGATTGAGCGTCGATAGAAACGTCTTGATACATTCTGTGCCAAAGGATGAAGGCTCGCGAATCGTGAATTGCCATGAATTATTTTAGTTCAACGAACTGCACTGGTGAGGTAGGCGCAATACGATTGAGGCTTGAGGAAAAAACAATCATTTGACCGACGCCGTCACGATGCAGCCGTTTATTAATATGCTGAGATTTCTTACTTACATAGAGACACAGCCACCAATGAAACGGTCATTTTCGTACTTTGTACGTTCGTATCTTCGACGATGTCATCACTTCTGATTCGTGGGGATATCACGATTGACACTGCATGCTTAGAGAGACAACTAATGTTTGTCCTTCTGAAAGCCTTTTTTTGTCACCTAGGCGCAATTGCAGGCGATATCATACAAGAATAGACCCTGAAGTTGGGGAAGTTGAGATGATTTGGTAGACGGGAATTTTTGAATCTTAGCTTGGAGACTATCGATGTTAGTTTTTTAAGATACCGTCTGATCGACATCGTATCTCATTTCCATGAGAAATACCAAGAGACATGGCGAACAAGGCGAACAAGGCAATTGCAACACAACAATAAAAGATGCAAAATTGTTCAACTAGAAATATAGACTTTTAGGGAAATTTTAGACTTCAGGAGTATATTTAGAGTTATTATAGAATAAGTCACGAGTGATGATAGTATTAGGAAAACATCAACTCAAATGTCAAAAATGTTCCGAATCGTGATGATAAGATGGTCATCGATGAAATCATAAAGATGATATGAAGAGATACAGTTTTGCAAAAGGGTATTTACACTGACTACCTACATAGTAGTTACAATTTAGAGCAGGAACAAACTCATTCCTCTCTACCTAGGACCTACCCGTAAAACTTTCAATGGCTCACAGATACTGCATAAGCTTCCTCTCTTCCGATTCCAACCTTGTTCCGAGGTTTATATCGACCAAACAAATTCATCCATTCATCACAATGTATTTGTTTTGATTGATTCTCACAGTACGTACGAACAACATCAATTCTTCTCAGCGAATCCCTCGATGGAAACACAAGACACATTCCTCTAGAATCAACAGACGAAGACGACGACGACGACGGCAATCACAGCAACCAAGACAACAACAACTACTACTTACTACCTAAGCACTTTACTCTTATCGACATAATCAATCAATCAAATCAAATCAAATCAATCAATCAACCCACGAGCGAGTCCTCCATCTTCCTCCCCAAATTCCGATATCACGGTCATAGCCATCCCTTCCCGCTGCCAGCTAAGAAAATCTAATTTCGTAGCAC